ATAAGTAGTGATATTTTTTGCTTCCAGAACCTCCTTCCACTACTATTATCAAAAAAACACTCCTTTAAGGTTTACTCCATCTATCTGTATCACGTTACCCAGACCCTATTCTGTCCTGGTTCTTTCATCTTAACTGTCTAACTGGGAGCCCTGGATTTTGGCTATGATATTCTTGGGAGCTTTCATTTCGAGATTTTTCAGGAGATCATCAGTGGATTCTCTCAATGTCTACTTTTCTCATTCTATGATACCTGGCCAAATTTTTTCTTTCATGATTTCTTTAAATATTATGTCTAAGCTCTTTTTGTTCATAGCTTTCAGGTGGTCTGTTGATTCTAGGTTTTCTGTTTTCTGTAAGATATTTCCTATAAGATATTTCACATTTTCTTCTATTTTTCAATCTTTTGACCTTATTTTATTATTAATTAATGTCTCATGGAGTCATGGAGGGTAGCTAGATGGTTCAGTGGATAGAGCCCTGGGCCTGGAGTCAGGAAGACCTGAGTTCAAATCTGGCCTCAGGCACTTACTAGCTGTATGACCCAGGGCAAGTCATTTAACTTGTTTGACTTATAGTTTATGCTTTGTTTTCAAAAAGAACCAATGTTATCATGAAGTAAAGTTTTGACTTGTGAGTAAATTGGATTTAAGTTAGTTAGAACTACACAAAGTCAACAGCTTCACTCTCTTTTCCAGAGTCATCAAAGTCTAGTGGCCAAATAAAAGTCAAGATGATTGGCACTATTAGCCCTCATATGATTATTTCAATAGATGCAGTAAAAACTTTTGACAAGATATAACATAAATTCCTGTTAAAAGCCTTAGAAAGCACAGGAATATACAGAGCTTTCCTTTAAGTTGCAAGTAATGTCTACCTAAAACCAAGACTATGGGAACAAGCCTTACCAATAAGAACAGGAGTAAAGCAAATATATTCATTATCACCATTACTATCCAATACTGTAATAGAAATCCTAGCTATAGCAATGAGCCAAGAAAAGGAAACTGAAGGATCAAGCATCAGCAAAGAGGAAACAAAATGATCACGTGTAAAGATGATACGATGACTTATCTAGAGATCTCTGCAGAGTCAACTAAAAAACTAATTGAAACAATGATGTCAGCAAAGTTGCAAGATATAAATAAAACCCCACACAAATCATCAATATTCCTATATATTATCAACAAAATCCAGTAGGAAGAAATAGTAAGAGAAATTCCATTTAAAATAACTACAGACAACATAATATACTTGGGAGTCTACCTGCCAAGACAAACACAGAAACAACATGAACATAATTACAAAATACTCTTTACACATATAAAGCAGCTCTAAATAACTGGAGAAATATTAATTGCTCATGGGTAGGTTGAGCCAATATAATAAAAATTACCATACTATTTAAGTTAATTTACTTATTCCATGCCATCCCAATCAAACTACCAAAGGATTACTTAATAGAGCTAGAAGAAAAATACTATATTATGCAGAAAAAACAAAAGATCAAGAATATCCAAGGAATCAATTTAATAACAAAACAATATAAGAAGGGAGCTTTGCAGTACCAGATCTCGAACTATACTCAAAGCTGTAATCATCAAAACAATTTGTTACTGGATAAGAAATGGAAAGGTTGATCAGTGGAACAGATTAGGTACATCATGTACAGAAGCAAATGAGCACAGTAACCTAGCTTTTGAAAAACCCAGAGATACCCACTACTGGTAAAAGAACTCACTACTGAACAAAAACTTTTAGGGAAACTGTAAAAGTTGTCTGGTAGAAACTAGGACCAATATTTCTCAACATATATCAGAATAAACTCAAAATAGGTTTATGATTTAGATATAAAGGGTGATATCAGTAGCAAATTAGTGGTCCATGGAAGAAATTACCTGTCAAATCTATGGATGGGGAAAGAGTTCATGAGCAAATAACAGATAAAGAGGTTCACAGGGGGTAAAATGGATACTTTTTCCACAAACAAAACCAATGCAGCTAAGATTAGAGGAGAAGCAGGAAAATGGGGGAAAACTGCAGTAAATTCCTCCGATAAAGAATTCATTTCTAAAGCATATAAGGAACTGAGTAAAAGAGCTATTCCCTTATTGATAAACTGTCAAGAGATATGACTAGAAAGGTTTCAGAGAAAGAAATAAAGACTATCAATAGCCATATGAAAAAATGCTCTAAATCACTAGTAATTAGAGAAATGCAAATTAAAACAACTCTTAAGTTACCCATTAGATTGGCTAAATTGACAAAAAAAGGAAAGTAACAAATTAGAGAGGCTGTGGGAAAAACTAGTATTTTAATGCACTTTTATTGCAGCTGTGAACTGTTCCAACCATTCTGATAAGCAATCTGGAACTACGCCCCTTAAGCTATTAAACTTGATTATCCTTTGACCCAGTGATGTCATTACTACAACTATACTCCAAAAGAGGAAAACTACCTAGATGTATAAAAATATGTATAGCAGCTCTTTTTTGTGATGGGGAAGAATTAGAAACTGAAAGAATGCTTATAAATTGGGAAATGGCTGAACAAGTTATAGAAATATTAAGGTATATATACCATATATAATATGGAATATTTATGGTATTATATATATGAATATATACAAGGTATATGAATAGGATAGAATACTATTGTGCTGTAAGAAATGATGGAAAACCTGGAAGACTTGTATGAGGTCATGCAAAGTAAACAATTTATATAAGAGTAATATTATGAAGATAAATTTGAAAGACTTAGTAACACTGATCAACATAATGACTACAATTCCAAAGGAATTTCATTATGAAATATGCTATTCACCTCCAGAGAGAGAAGCATATTTTCTTTTTTCTTTCTACCTTTCCTTCCTTCCCCCCATCTCAATGAATACCAGAATTTGTTTTGCATGACTTTATATAATTGTATTAGCTTTCATTTTTCTTGTCTTTTCAATGAATGGAAGAGAGGCAGAGAGAGGGAGAAAATTCAGAACTGAAAATAACCTAAAATAAAATACAAAACCAAAACAAAACACCTATACCAAGGGGGGAAAAAACAAGGAAGACTGCTAGAGAACTTTAAAAAAAACCAGCTCTGGAAGGAAAGGCCACAAAGTTAAGGCAGCATTTTAAGCCCTGTTTGAGAAACACTGACAATGAAAACACATACACACACACACACACACACACACACACACACACACACACACACACACACACACACAAACCACAGAAGGCGTTCTATACACATACCCACCATCACCTGGAACAAACAAACCATCATATATTTACTCTAGTCACTAAAATGCCAATTTTTCTTGTCATAATCGCACTTTCACAAAAACACACAGAAATATACCATATCCAGAGATTTCACAAGGCATAGACACACATATACACAAACATTCCTACACAGTTTCATATATAGTGTACACACAATTCGCGTACACTCGTCTCAATAGGTAGGTAGAAGGGTAAAAAGAGTATTAACAATGAACAACTTCTTTTCATCAGGAAAACACTATATTCAAACTGAAAATTACCAATTAGTACTTTAGTCATTTTAACCACCCCTAATCTACCTACATTCTGTTGTTTTTAAACAATATGGTAGTATGTGCATCTAATATTAAAAGGTTCCCCACTGGTTAAAGAACAATATTTCACTGGGTCAGAGATTGCTTCTAATCTAAACAAACAGCAACTGTTCTTTTTCAGATGATTGTGGGTCTTTTTGGGGAGTGGGGGTGGGGAGGAGAGGGCGTTGGATGAACTGGAGAAAGTGAGTAGTTCTCATGGCAATCACAGGATGCTAGTTGATCTGTTTTAGAATGACTGCTAATAATTCTTCTCATTTCTTTTTTTCAAATCCAATTCTCATGTACAATTTTCACTTAATAAAGTAATGTGCCTTTAAGCTTCTAAGAGAATACTGACTTTCCAAAATAAGTTAAAAAAATAGGATTTAAACTTCTGAAATCATTACATGAAATGAATAAAAGCCAAAGTACAAAACATATTCTCATAATAAACAGATTTTTGCCAACATGTTTACTTTCATATCAAAATTTAAATAGGTCCAGCTCTTATACTGCTAGTAAAAAAGAAAATGTATACTTGTCCATAATATAAAATATATAAAAAAGGTTTATATATTCAGATATGCTGTCTTGCTAGTCATTCAAATGTTACTAAAAAATACTCATTTAGTTCTCTCAGTTGAAAAAGATGTAAAAGGATAAAAACCACTATGGGAATTACCTAAAGAATTATTTTAAAATTCAACAAGAATCCTAATAAAGTTTTTTTTTTACAATGACACCGTAATTTTAATTCAATTGACAACTCTATTGGCATCATCTAGTTCAGATGTTTAGAAGCAGTCCTTTGAGTTTCTGTGGAAATGGTTATGGGCCAGAAACTCATGAATATGTTAACTATTTAAGAAAATTCAAATTTTTTTAAACCATCTACTTCATAACTAAAACAAGATATTTATTTTTCAGAATCAACAAACTTAATGACAATCCATACCATGACTGATACATGTAGATGACTTTTTCCATCTCCATTTACCTGAATAGTTAAACTAGTCTAGTAAAACACACAACTTAAAATATAAAATAATATAATTTAACATAAAGGTATAGTAGTACTTTTGTAACTATATTTTAACTTTTAAATGATTACAGAATCTCTGCTCTATCCAAGGGTTTTAAATCACCATTTAAAAACACATCACAAGGAATCAACAAATACTTCCCATGTATACTCTTCAATCTATTACATAATTTAAGTCAAATATAAATTTTAAAAGATAATGAAACAATCATGTAGAATATTAAAAACCAAAAGTGATATGTATTTTTCTTATTAGATAGTATATGTGTGTATGTATATATGTATTTTATATTATGTGTTATCGTTGTTGTATATACGTGTGTGTGACTCTATACAGATAACAGAGCAACATATCAAAGTAATTTTAAAACAATTCTTACCTCCATTGCTAAAGCTGCTGTCTGTTGATCATAATGATTCAGAAGATTAGGCATGAAGGTAGTATTATAAGGCAGGTCTTGGCACATCCTCAAGGTGATAGGCTCACAAGAAAATAAACTGTGCCCACTGATATACCCCACAAACATAGTCATGGACCAAAGACAGGAGAATATCCAACTTATAGCCATCCTTCTTGGATCTGAATAATATTCAGATAAATAGGCCTATTAAATATAATTTTAGGTATCATGCACCTGCAGGTCTCTGCTTGAAATACTTCTTCACTTCTTGCTGTTAAGCTTTGCAAACAGTTAAATATTCTTTGCATCGACACAGCTTTGTTAACCTCATCTGACAAAAGGCATTTGTTTTTGGTTTCACAATACAGGTAAATGACATCATCTTGTCTTTTCTTTTCATTTTATTATATAGATTGCATTTGACTAACATGTCAAGTTGATTAACCACATTCCCAAACAATAGATCCCATCTTGGTAGACCAGCTATTTCTTCCTTTAATTGACAGACCTGGAAAACATAAAAGAAGAGAAAAAATTAGGTCTTTCCTCTAAGAATACTGCATATTTGTATGTTTAAATTCTTTGGTGAGAGACAGTAATTACACATATTATAAAATACATAAAACATCCTCATAAAAGATCCCTGTATAGTTTTTAATTGTTACTTAGGTTAGAGTCACAATAGAAATGACCTATAAGCTACACATAAAGGCAAATTAAACATTTTTAATCAGAGGTGATACAGACTCCAATTATGTGATTTTGATAACCATAGTTCTTTGTATGGTAGGTTTTTTTCATTTGTCACAGAATCTAAAATGAGACTACCTTCTGAGGGACTACGTAATTGTCCTAAATTTAATATATTTCCTTTTAAATGTATATAATTACTATAAAGTTATTAAAATTTAAAAGTGTAAAGATTTTGTGAAGAAAAATCTTATATTTCAATATATAGGAATACTGAATTATACTCAAGTTTGAAACTTCTTTTAGCAAATTCTGGGTAGAAAAATGAAAGTCACCTTCTAAAAGACAGATTTAAACTAGTGGCAATCACATGGCTTTGCCCAGAACATAGCATCCTACTAGATGGTTACATTATAAATGCCAGCACCATACATTAAGGAGTTCCTGATTTCATGTGTTAGAAATGAAAGATCATTTACTCAATTTACAAATACCCTATACATACAAATAGTGGGGACTCCCAATCTAGGGCCCCTGTCCATCATGGAGCAACTAGAGCTAGAGCTAGAAATTCTAGCACCTGGGACAAATTTAGATGAAGCAGAAAGCTGTGGTGGAGAGGGGAGAAACTAAGGAAATGGGTGTTGAGGAGGCTGAAGAACTAAGAGTTTAGGGTATTCTAAGTAGGGTAGGTGTTGGGGTAGAAAAGGCAACAAGCATTTATTAAGTGCTTACTATGTACAATGCACTGTGCATTGAGCTAAATACTGAATTTAATGGGAAAGAGGGAGAGAGACCTGAAGCTCCACAAAGGACAGCAACAATGATCTGGACAGACTAGGTGGAATTTTAAAAGGCACAGTTGTCAAGTGGTAGTGACAGAAGAAAGATATGAAGAGTGGTAGGGGAGAGCACAGAGTATACCAACTCCTCCCTCTTAACCCTAAGCTTCAAGAGAAATGTAAAAGAAAGAATGCTGGACTTGGAGAAGGTGCCAAATAGTTAGGCGTCTTCAGAAAAAAAGCTAGTTTTCAGCAGCCACAGGAAAATGAAAGGAATTTGAGAGAAAGGGATCTAGAATCATAGACTTAGAACTGGAAGGGACCTTGGAGGTCACCTAATCACAACCCCTCTTTTACACATGGGAAAGTGAGGTCCAGAGAAGTGAAATGACTTGCACAAGATAACAAAGGTATTAAGTATAGGAACTATGATTTGAACTCAGGTCCTCCAACCCTAAATCCAGTAGTCATTTTTTACTTCACCATGACAGAGGACGGTTCTCCAGGGGCACATGGGAAATGGAGAAAAGAAAACGATAATGCCTAGGAGAGAGCAAAGGCTGAGTTCACAGTCTAAACCAGCAGTAGGGAACCTGTGGTCTCAAGGCCACATGTAGCCCTCTAGGTCCTTGGGTGTGGCCTTTTGACTAAGTCCAAGTTTTACAGAACAAATCCTTTTATGAAGGGGAGCTGTTCCGTGAAGTTTGGATGCAGTTAAAGGGCCACACTTGAGGACCTAGAGGGCCACATGTGGCCTTGGGGCCACAGGTTCCCCAACGTGGTCTAAACTATAAGGGAATAGGGGCAACAGTATCAGGCCAACACATTCATTACTGATCCCCCCTCAGATGATTCTGTTTTTCCAGCCTGGTGCATGGAGGAAGGGGTGAAGAAAAATGCCATCTGCCTCACATTTGTTGGAAGGTGCCCTGGGAAACAGACAATACAGCCACAGAATCTTAAGGGAATAGTAGCCCTAGGCTGGGTGAAGGAGTGGATCGGTAGGTCTGGTGCAAGGTGGGAAACATATGCCTTGGTAGAAGAAATTACAACTTTTCCCCTTCAGTAATTACACTTCCAAGATGCTAGCCTGGATCACCAGTGTTAGTTCTGCCCTTTGTTTCCTGGTGCAAAACAAGTCAGTTGTTAACCTAGAAAGCATTTTCATGCTATGTGTATGTGTGTGCGTGTGCATATATACATATGTATAAATACGCACACATATATTTCACGGTATATATTGTGTCCAGCAATAATATTACTACTTACTTTGCCCTTGCCCTTGACAGAGGAGCTCCCATTGCCAAAGATAAAATTGTGGTCCACAGTCCTGACTAAAGAACACTAGATTTGGAGCCAGAGGGCCTATTTTAAATTCCAGTTCTACTACTTATTACATATACAACTTCAGGCAAGTAATCATCACAATGGATCTCAGTTTCTCTATCTGAAAGAAACTAGTTACGTTATCTGGAAAATGAAGAAGAATTAGAAGATTTCTAGCTCTAAATCATAAGATATTATGTTCTGAAACTTTTCCCTTAAATCCTAATAGTGGTTAAATAGTCATTGAAAAAAATATTATGACAGAATCACAGAATCTGAGAGTTGGAAGGAATACCAGTGGCTATCTAGTTTAACATATACAAAGGAATCTCCACTATAACATGCCTACAAATGTCATTCAGTCTCTTCCTTAAAACCTCTAAGGAGGAGGAATTTATTCCCTTTTAAGGTAGCTTATTCCACTTTCGGATAGCTCCAATCATTAGGAAGTTTTTCCCGACAACAAGCCTAAATTAGCCTCTCTGTAACTTCCACCCACTGACCCTAGTTTGATTCTCTGGAGCCAAAGAGAATAAATCTACTGTCTACCATATAACAGGGCTTCAAATACTTGAAAGACAGCTATCATATCCTTTCTGAATCTCCTCTTTTCCATGCTAAAGAAGCTTAGTTCCTTCAACTAATCAACTAATTCTATGAGCAGAATCAAAGAATTTTTGAGAAACCTTAAAGATTAGCTAGTCCAACCCCTCTCTTTTTTACAGAATAAGAAAATGAGATGGAAATATTAAGTGACTTGCCCAAGGTCAAACAATAGCTAGTAAACTGGTAATATATTTCAAGTGCATGAATTATATAGGCTTTTGTGTACTACTCTATGAATCTAACTACCACTTAAAATATTGGTCTATGGGGAAATTGTTCTAACGGTGAAATAACCAACTTATAGAACTATGTTTAAAAAATTAATCCATAAGCTAAGGATTGCTTATACCTCTGGCATCTAAATGAAAGGTTTTATCCTTTAAAATTCAGTTAAAAACAATAGGAAAATGTGAAACTAGGGAAAACTGTCTCCCAAACTAAGCCAAAACCAAGACAGAAAATACCCCCCTGTATTTCCTGCTTAGTTCCAAAGAGACCCAGGTTGCTAGGCCTTCCTTGACACCCATGGCTATCTTCCAGAAGCCCCTGGCTGACAGGTGCAGCCACCTCCAATACTGAAAGGCAGCATCCTCCCTCCCTGTTATGGGTGTCATATCCCTTTGTTACCTGCCAGAGATTAAGCTGAGGAACTGAGACCTCTGTTTCTAGACAAAAAGCGGCAGATTCCTCCCTCCAGCAAAAAAAAGGGGTTTAAGAGCAGTTTGGGGGAAAAGAATGAGAAAGGAGTTTGTGGTGCTCAGGTCTCCCTACACCTGGACGTTAGTGCCCCCTTCTGGAGAATCAGAAAGGGTCAATTACCTGTATCTCCCTGAATTATACATCTAAAAGAGCAGCTTCCGAGGTACTCTTCTATAATCCTCAGTTTACTCCAAATTTTCTTCTGGCTACAGGAAAAGTGACATTAAATATCCATCTACATGAAGAACTTATCATTTATGCTAAATTACCATATATCACAATAATAACTATATGTATCATTAAATGCACAAAATAAACCTAGTTTCTGATAATATTAAACTGTTCACATATGTGTAGTAGTTCCTTGCTTATACAGCTTAATCCATTCACAACTTTTAAAACATCATCAACAATATAGACCACATATATCAAACAATATTGGTACTAATTTATAAAGGTTGAGAATCCCTAACTAGAAAGTAGAAAGTGATATCTATTATCAGTCATAATCACTCTGAAGTGGTTTTGATTAATTGACCAGGAATGGAAGTGGGGCTTTTTAGGAAGGTAATTTAGGTAATTTATTGGAAAGAATCTGTTGGGTTGCAACAAAATATTCACTAAAATTAGAAGCACTACCATTGAATACAAATTTAACATAATAAAAACTTCCATTAAAGTAGTCTACCTCTCAAGAAACTAAAGATTACAAATAATTCATGTACCAAAGAAAAAAATAGCTATATAATATTCCAGGAAGAAACTAAGTAAAATTAGATGAGATTTTTGAAAATGTAATGTTACCCACTTGCAATTCTGCTTACTCCCCCAACATAAGGTAAGCTCCATGAGAACAGGTACTTTTTTTATCTTGGTATCCATGATATTTAACAGGGTGCCAGGCATGCAGCCGACACTTAATAAATGCCTGTTGAATTTGACTCCATCCATGTCCTTCTAGTTCTACTTCTAACTACTCCTTTTTTCTTATATCCAAATAAGGTAGCTGTCCACCTTCTTTAAATGTTGGTTCCCTGCAACAAATCTATTCAGTTACAGGAAAAAAATAATCTCCTCAGTCAATACCATCAGTTATATTTTGTTCTTATAATAAAATAGATGAAATAAAATAATAGCAATAAATTAACAGCAACAAAGATCAAAGACAAAGAGCTTTAATTCTTTACTGAAATGTGAATAAGAATGATATTGGCATACAATTAATATACAATTCAAAAGTAGCATATAAAAATTTTTAAAAATCAAATGACAGTTTAAATACTACAATAGTATATAAGGGATTCCTATAATGAATTCTTTTGTAAAATGAAAAATCTATCTAAAAAAGGGAATAATTACCCTTTGCCAGCTCCTAGCACAAATTTATATTTCTAAGATTCATGAA